TGTGTCATCCCCATAAAGACGTATGGTTGCCAAGTGAAAGGAAGGTATGCCAAGCCTGGCAGCTAAGAAAACAAGTGATCTCAGGATGGAAGGATGAACTCACGTCTTTTAGGCCAACTTCCATTAAATAGCTGGGATACATGAAGAAAGCTTCACTGGTTTGGCCTAATGTTTAATTGTAATGTAGTAATTAACGATTGCCAGGCAACATGAGTTCCTATTCTCTTCTGAAAAAGGAAATGTAGTCCATTTTGCTCTCAAAAATGCTACTGTATTATGCTGGTATGTATGCTTCAGTTATATGGACACTTTGAGCCAAAAAAAGAATTGTTTTGGAACTCATAATGAGACAATCCACAGATATATAAATGTCTATAATTAGAAATCAAGGTTAAAAGAGACAAACATAGAGACTTAGGCATATTGATAACATAATTTACAATATGAACTTTATTTAAGGTGTGCCCACCATTACTCAATCCAAATACAGAAATGTTATGACCAAGGGTAGCCCACCTGATAAAAACAATCATATGGCATCCTTTCCCCATTGTAAATCAAAATGGGAATTTAAATAGAAATTAGCACACGTAAACATGTAACTGAGATCAAACAGATTTGAAATGATGTGTGAATTGGAAATGGGTTGATGTCTTTGGTGGGCTGATATTTACATCATGTGGAAAGGTTTAAAATCTGTTGAACTTGAGGAAATGGATAGAGGTTACCTCTGTCATCTCTGGGCTTCTCTCCTTCCCAATCTGGAATGTATGGGAAGCTAGGGAAGGGATGGCAGGCTGGAGCTAGGCCATAATGAATGGCTTCAAATAGAAAGAAGAAATTTTTCACCCATGCTTTTTCTTGCGTAAAGAAATGTTAACAATAGAATCAACTATATTATTGCCCTGTCTTCAACTTTCCCTATTTTAGAGAAGTTTGTTGAGAATGACAGTCAAAATTAATATGGATTTCAAAAATAATTATATCAGACATGCCATATTAAGAATGTGGAATAAATACAAATTCAGGTTATGCCTTAAAACAGATTTTTGATTCTCAGTACAAGAAGCATTTTATAGATGAAAAATAATAAGAAAACACAAACGGGTATCATATTGTAAGATTCTTGAATTTTGTGAGGTGAGAATTTAATATAAAATCAAGAACTGGTGGCAGAGGGCTATTGTTGCCAATGGTTCTCTTATTTATAGTTATTAGATTTAAAATGTAAAGAAGAGTTATAGTTTTGAACATTGTGAGACTGAGTTTGAAATAGTATTGGGTACAAATGATGAACATGTAATTGCTAAATGTATAAATATTTATTGAAATTTGAAACAGAAGAACAAGTGAGAGAATTATTATGGTTCATCGCACAGTCAGCCAGACGTTTAGATTGAATTTGGCATATTTATCTAGCTGTTGAGTCCTTCCCAAGGGCCTAATATTACTATTTTATATATTTATAACTGGCCTTATAAATAACCCAAGATGGCAAACATACCTCATACTCCTTCCTTTTGTATGATAAAGTATGTTAAAAGTGGAACAATGGAAAATAGGTGGTTGAAAGAATTGAAATTTACACTATGTTACAATCTTAAAGAGAATATTTATAAAATGTTATACCATTGGTATATTTCACCTAGAATGTGTAAAGGCAATTCAAATTTATGTTGGAAATGAGAGAGGACAGGAAGGGACATTTTATCATGTTTGACAGATGTGTAAAAACGCTACAAAATTCTGGATTCAAATATACATACTCATAGAATCACAGGGTTAGAAGGGGCCTTTTACAAGTCCTCATAGCTTCTTGGACAAACCGCAGTGGTGCATTCACAACTCCAGGAGGCAAGCTGTTCCTTTGCTTAATAGGTCTCACTGTCAGTAAATTCCTCATTTCCAGGTTGGATCTCTCTCTTATGAGCTTAGTAGTTCGGAGAACAGGCAAATACCATCTCTGGCTGGCCCCAGAGTGGGGTGGGAATGGAGATTTTACAAAATCCTTCTCCTGGAGTGGGGTGGGAATGGAAATTTTGCAGTATCCTTCCCCTGCCATGCCCACCAAGCCACGCCCACCAAGCCACACCACGCCCACCAAGCTACGTCCACAGAACCGGTAGTTAAAAAAATGGATTTCACCACTGGTTCAGTTGCAAAAAAAAGGTCTTGCAATTAGGCAGGATAGGGTCAGGATAGAAAGTATTAGTCATACTCCACTCAGTATCAAGGATGCAGTTGTAGAGGTGGTCAACAGTATTAAGTATCTGGGGGTGCAGATAACTAACAATCTGAATTGGTCTGTCCACACATCATCCTTAGTGAAGTGTGCAAACCACATCTGCATTTCCTGTGTTGGATGAGGAGAGCACATTTTCTGTCCTAGCCACTTTTTACAGAGGCATAGTTGAGAGTGTTTTAACAAACTGCATCACTGTTTGGTTTGGTGGCAGCAGTGCCTCAGAGAGAAAGTCCATACAGAGAGTGGTAAGGACAGCCAAGAAGATTATAGGAAGCTCACGTCCTGCCATTCAGGATATAAGTGCCTATGTGCTTAGAGCTAAAAGCATTATTAGAGACTCCACACACCGACTTTATGATCTGTTTCTGTTGCTCCCCTCTGGGAGGAGGTTTCCAAGTATTTCCAGCAGGACTACCAGATTCTGTAACAGCTTTCTTCCTATGCCATCCGTCTGGTACTCACAAGATTCATTTTTCTCGCCATGTACAGGTATACATCCGAATTAGACTGTATTGTTTTTTTGTGTCATATATGTGAGTATATGCATAATTTTGCATTTATTTATTTATATTGTCATGTTTATGAAGTGTACATTGGAGGTGGTGATCCTTTGAGAGCTGTATGCAACAAAATTTCATTTTTAATGTATGCCAAATAGTGTACATTCAAAGTGACAATAAAGTTGTTCTAAGGAATGTCCATAAGAGAGTTCTTTATTTATTGCTGACTGGAAGCCCTCTATGGACTTTTTGTATGAAACAGAAAAAAAATAAACTTGTGGTTTTTGGTTTTGATGATAGGGCAGGATAGATTATATAAAAAAGAGTATTATGATGTAACTTTAGAGAAAGAGGTAAAATTATAATTATAGTTATAACTCCTGTAACGACTGGAAACTATCTCTTCATATCTTTTTTTATTTTCTATTTTTTCCTTTGATTTTTCATTTTTTTTACTTTGTATTAGTTTGTATCATTGATGCTTGTACCTTCATTGTATGTACTAATGCAGAGTAAGGGAAATAAACTGAGAACAGGAATACATCAGTTGTTTAATTAGTATAATTGAGACCCGTTGAGATTATTTTGATTACTGCACTATAGTAATTAAAGGATATAATTTACTTAAAAGAAACAGAGGCATTAAATATGTTAAAATATCACAACGGCACAGAAATCCAAATAAAAGAACCTAATGGTGCTATTCAGAATATTTGAAATAGAATAAATGGAAGAATGGATAAAAGCAGTATTATTTTTGCCTATTATTCAACTAGGAGGAAGATAGGCTGATATTTCCAAAAGCAAATTGCAATTATTTCAAAAAAGCAGGAAATAAAAGTGATGGTATATTGGTGGGAAAACCGATAGCTAAACATGTTCCTTCCAGAAAAATCTTGATTCATCAACTGTCAATTTTCCCCTATCAGAAAAATAGCTATCAGCTTCCATGAGAACAACATAAAGGGTTTAGCTGTTCTTGATTTGATATTAACCCACAGACAAGCTAAAATAATATAAAAAGGTGGTCTTAAAATTCTTTTTCTCCCCAAATAACTTTACTGAGTTTCAAAAGATTAATAAAATATAAAACAACACTAAGGAGAAAAATTTGGGGAAGAAGGTGATTAAAAAGAGGGAAAATTTTAAAATTAAAAATCTATCTGTCCATCCATCCATCCATCCATCCATCCATCCATCCATCTATATCTGTCTGACTGTCTGTCTGTCTATCATCTCTGGGAAGACCACTAGCCTTCCAGTGAATGGCCTTCAGAATTAGTCACACTGTCATCAAAGCTAATAGCCCTTGATCCCCATGACTTCAGTGAATTCATCCAACCCTTTTTCTGAAGCTGATAGCCAGCACCACATCTTGGGACAGCAAATTTCAAAGTTGAATTAGGCTATTTTTTGTGTGTTAAAAAAGAAAGAAAGAAATATATCCTTTTTTCTGTCCTGATTCTTCCAGGATTCAATTTTGTTTGATGACTTTTCATTCTAATATTTTAGGAAGGTGAAAGTAGCATATCCTTGTCTATTTTATCCACACAAATTTTGGACTCATGTCTGATCTTATTTGCTTGCCTTCTGGACCAAAAAAAATTGTAAATGTCACAATCTTTCCTCAAAGGGAAGCTATCCCAACTCTTTGATCATCTTAGGTCCCCTAATCTGTAACTTTTCTAGCCCTGTTGTATATTTGTGGAGGTACATCAATCAAAACGGTATACAATATTCCAGAGGGGAGTCACACCATTGATAAGAACATTATGATACTGGTATCTTTATTTTCAATATTGTTTCTTATTATCCCTAACATGCTGTGCCCTTTTTTTTCCTACAGCAGATGCACATTGTGCCGACACCTTCAAAAAACTGTTAATCATTACTCCAAGATCTCTTTCCTCCTCCGACATTGCTAATTCCGATCCTGTTAATTTGTATGTATAGCTAGGATATTTGGCACCAAATATGCCTCACTTTACACCTGCTTGTGTTGAATGACATCTACCAATTTGACACCTACTCCCCTAATGTGCAAAAATCTAGAGCGCTTTTCAGTCCCTTATGGTATTTACCACTGTGAACAATTTAGCATCATCAGCAAGCTCAGTTATTTTGCCAGTCACTGCTTTTCTAAATGTACAACTTGTGTGTAATTTGGGAAGCTGAATTTCCAAATATAGAAATGTAATATATGCTCATTGACTTCCTGTAGGCTGAGTAAACAAAATATTATCCTGATTTTATTATGTGCTTTCTGTTATTTATATAGAAACAACTATATGCATTTGGACTTTAAAGATTCATTTTTGGTGGCACCTAACTGATCTTAGCTGGTAGTATTTGAAAAACAGGGCCTGCTCTGCTCATTACTTTGAACAGAGACCACCAGAGAAATCCATGGCTGTGGGCTATGTACCAGGAAGTCGAAGGAGACAGTGGGAAACCACTATCTTAATGCTGTGAAGAAAATGGTTTTGATGCACTGCTGATCTTTGTCATTAGGAATTGAGATTGTCTCCGTGGAATATTTGCTTTTTATTGCAAAACGTTGTGGCTTGATTTGGGAAAAAGCAACGAAAAATGATCTAAAGAAAAACAACGAAGGAAGATTCATTAAATATATCCTGCTGGACAGGATACATAAAAATGTAGACTTGTCTGCATTTTTCCTCCCTTCTCAAAATAGTATTTCCCTATTTTGTGAGCAGTTTAAGCATTTGACAAGAATTACTTTTAAACCTAAGAGGTTGTCTGAAACGAAACAAAAAAAAAAGTTCATTTATCCTTGTGCAAATGCCTAAAGTATAATTCTGTAACATTCCAAGCATTTCTATTACAAACTGTATTATAGCAAGTATCTAGTGTGATGTCAAATTAGTTTTGGAGTCTATGTAATTGACTTTTGAGAATATCCTAACATAAAAATGTTAGTTCCAGAGTGCAATCTCAGTTAACAAAATGTTAATAAATTCTTTGACAGAGGCTCTGATATTGGATCAAAGAACAAATAAAATTGCATCTCTAAGTGATATCCTTATTGCCTTATGCTTGAAGTTAGTTATCTTTATCCAGAGAAATGGGAGCATAAAGCAGTGTGACATTAAATGAAGTGAAATCTTTAATCCCACAGAGCATTCAGAAAGATAGGAGAGACGAAAAAGTGCTGATATTTACTATGCGATAATGCCATACATAAAATAAGCTTTGAGAGTAAATTGTAGCCTTCGATCATTTCCTTTTCTCTTAGGGTAAACATAGAGATAATAGTTTAAGGTGACCAGACGTCCCGCTTTTGGCGGGACAGTCCCGCTTTTGAGCAATTTGTCCCGCGTCCCGCGGCGTTTCAAAAAAGTCCCGATTTTTCTTGAGCCCCAGCTGATGGCTAGAAGAAAAAAAAACTGTTTAAACTCTTGCCCGGGGCTTCAAAGGGCCGCCCTACAGGCAATCAGTGTAAAGCAGTTTTTTTTCCCCCTAGCTAAGCTTCAGAAACGAAACCGAAACCAGGGTCTTTGGTGCAGCGTGACAAAATGAGGCAGAGAGAGATTTATTTTTATTTTTATTTTTCCTCCCCAAAAAAGGTAGGTGAAAAACTGCAAACAATGGGAAATTTAGGAGGAGAGTTCAAGATTTTAAAACACAAAGGAAAAAAAGCTGTATTTAACTAGGGAATTGTAATAATTGAGATACTATTAATTGTATATTGTGTTGAAAGCAGAAATGGTTACGTTGTGGTTCGGAGGAATATATGGAGGAAATTATTTGGTTTATTATTATTGGTAAATATAATTAATTGATTTGTAAGAAATTGGATTGCATGGAAATAATTGGAATATTCATGTTCATATTAATATACAAAAAAGATAGTTATATAACTAATTGATTTATATTAAAATGTTGAATTTGTATTAAACAACTGTATTACATAATTACATAATTAAACAATGTGAGGATGGATATAAAAATAGATGACAATGGGAAGGGGTATAATATAGAATAGAAGGGAAAAATTGAATTTGATTAAGATTAGAGATGAGGATGAAGGGTAATATTGGTTTTTTTAAAAAATAGATGAGGAATAAATATGGCAAAAAGGAAATATAGAAATTGTAAATTTAATTGAAATGACTAAACGCTGTTTAAATTTGTGAACCAGCCAAATATTCTGTTCAAAGAAAATACATTGTATGTTTGTATGTGTGTTTCTAATTATTGCTATTTATTCATATTTGTTCTCTTTTATTCTTTAAAGTTTAACAATTCATTCTTTATCTTAATATCTTTATATTTGCTTGGGGTTGGCTTTCTTCCCTTTCATCTTTTTTATTGTACAGCAATCTTTCTCCTCAAACCTACCACCTCTCTTTTCTTTCCTTCTTACTTTCTCTTCCCCCCCTCTTCTTCTCCTCCCTACTTCCTCTTCCTTTCTCCTTCTCCTCCTCTCTTCCTCCCTCTCTTAACCGTCACTCCTACTCTAATTTCCCTTCCCTTCCTTCATCCCTCTCAATTACTGTATCCTTTTATGCATATGGACTACTCAGAGGGCTGAAAAAGTTATTTTTGACTGGTCCTCGCACTTTTGACCAGTCCTCGAACTTACGACTGTCTTCACATTTTACGTTTTTTGCCCTATCTTGTCACCATGGTGAAGAGAAGCAGTTGTGAAATGAGTGACATGGTTGTTAAGAATACTGCACGGGCATAAATGTGAGGATGGTCATAAGTGTGAGGACCAGTCAAAAGTGCGAGGACCTGTCAGAAATGACTTTTTTCAGCCCTCTGGTTAGTCCTTTTGTGCATATGGACTACTCAGAGGGCTGAAAAAGTTATTTTTGACTGGTCCTCACACTTTTGACCAGTCCTCAAACTTACGACTGTCCTCACATTTTACGTTTTTGCCCTATCTTGTCACCATGGTGAAGAGAAGCAGTTGTGAAATGAGTGACATGGTTGTTAAGAAAGCTGCACGGGCATAAATGTGAGGATGGTCATAAGTGTGAGGACCAGTCAAAAGTGTGAGGACCTGTCAGAAATGACTTTCCAGCCCTCTGAGTAGTCCCTATACACATAGCCATGGCCACCCGGTCACATGACCAGCTAGCCACGCCCACCCAGTCACATGGCCTCCAAGCCACGCCCACACAATAAGCCACGCCCACAATGGTGTCCCTCTTACCAATGTTAAAATCTGTTCACCTTACCCTATACACATAGCCATGGCCACCCGGTCACATGACCAGCTAGCCACGCCCACCCAGTCACATCACCAGCTAGCCACGCCCACAAAATAAGCCACGCCCACAATGTCCCTCTTTACCAATGTTAAAATCTGGTCACCTTATAATAGTTCCATCTAAATATTAATATAGAAAACTATTTACCACTACAGTGCTTTTAGAAGTAGGCAATAATGTCTCCAACACTTTATGCATATTTATTTATTCTGTAACCATTAATGCTGATCCTAAAGACCATGAAAACGCAAATAAATAAAAGCAAGCACTATATTGTATGCAATGTCTGTTGTGTTAACTGAAATTACACTCAGGATTTCCTCAAAAATACCATTACCTGTGGCTATTGTTTCTCAGTATCCCCTTTGTTCCACTACATAGCTATCATAATTCATCACCTTGACATTTATCTCACTAAACCAAGGCTCTACAGTATAACATCAGGATTCCAAGGTAACCAAGCTACTATAGAAAGCATTTTCAAAAGACAGAATGTTTGCAAACAATTGAGTTAAACTGAATTCAGACACTGATCCAATCACTATTTTGTATGCTGATGTATGGTCAGCTGTTAAGCCACAGTTTTCCAGTTAGTTTGAATATTAACAAATGCAGAAAAAAAATTAACTTTCTGGTCTCCCTTTGTATATTCTTCCAGCCATCCTGTGAGAAAACGTAAAGGAATCAATGTTAAAACAATTGAGGCTTCCTTCAAATTGCTACATGGTTCTTTTGTAAATAACAAATTTCATTAAAGAAATGTTTAACAAGATAAAAGCAATACAAATTTTTAGAGAAAAGTAAAGAAAATAAAGAAAAAATGGAGAATGGAGAATAAAAAAACAGGAAAAAGAAGAGAAAGAAAGAAAGAAAAGAAAGGATTATAAAGAAGTAGCTTCTGATCTTCTTAACAGCAGCTAAAAATGAATTTATATTTAGGCCCAAGATTACACTGTGATTTTCTTCTTGCCATAAGCTACCTTCCTAATCGTTAAAGCCATAAATCTTAAATTCTTTTTTTCTTTCTTCAGCCAAAAGTCCAAAGGGTTTCCGGCTGCTAAAAAATGAGATTATTGCCCTTTCCCTAATTAGACAAGTTTGATTGCCCTCTTTCATTTTAGGACTGTGCAGCAAATGGAAGGATGTCTTACTTGTTAAAGGTTTTGACCCTTTTATCATTATGTCAGGTTTTGAACATTATTGTCATACAGTGCAAGAGCTGGTGTCATGGAGGGTAAGCCTTTTGAACTCACAGGTTATTTGGGTCTATTAAAAATTTCTCTATTACTCAGGGCGAGTTCATGAAGGCTTTTATGCTGAGTTTCTCTCCCTGTTTGTGATCATGTCTGCTTCAGGCTGGTTTCATAAGCATAAATAAAAAACATATATTTAAACACAGAATAATATATTGCACTAGTGGTTTCTTCATTGCCAAGAACTGACCTATATTGCTTGGTACACCTGCGGAGGAGTATTAAATATAATTTATATGAAGTAGTTAAAATATGAAATAGTAGATATATTACTGAAAATATGAAACAGGCATGTAAAAATAATAGAAATAACAGGTAAAGCCAAACTGTCCTGTTTCTTATCATCTTTCTTGGCAAGAAAATGCATTTTTATCACACTGCTTCTCTATAAAATGTCAAAGAATCAAAGGTACCTTCCTCCTGTTGAATTTTGAGTTAAGGTTTTTAAGATTTGTACCATTATAGAGGAGGAAAAGCAGGGAATGCCTCTAATCCGAAATCAGATTTCTCCATGGTTGAAGGATGGAGATAAATTGAGCTAGCAACTTTCCACATTTCCTTAAATGGATGAAATATTGCCGAGGTTGTTAGTTGAATATGTGATGTGGAATAATTTAAGATACAGAGGCTTAACTGAAGACGGAAGCACTGACTTGTGCCTATTAGTAATATCAGACAATCTGTGCTAAAGCACATATATTTGGAGTTCAAATTACCAGTTGTGAAATTATGGAAGGGCTGTCTTTTATGGAAAATACAGACTGTGCCATGTTTTGATCTTCTCCTCAAAATTACCCTATATTTCTAATTCTTATAATATGTGAGTACCATTACCAACAATTAAGCCATCTTATGTACTCAGTACAGTATGCCTGTCAAGAACATAAATTCATTTGCATAAAATGAAATACAACCTTGCCGAAAGTTGTAACTTTGGTGTTGGTTATTACCTTTAAAGCCCTACATGGCTCACGGCCAGGCTATCTTCGAGACCGCCTTCTACCACATAGCTCCCAGCGATCGGTAAGATCCCACAGAGTCGGTCTCCTCCGGGTCCCGTCAGCTAAACAATATTGGCTGGCGGGCCCACGGGGAGGGCCTTTTTTTTTAAAATTTGATTTGTATACTGCCCTACTCCTGAAGGACTCAGGGCGGTGAACAGCCACAAGATAAAAACACATAAATACAAAATTTAAAAACAGAATAAAACCGAATTAAATAATTTGGCTGAAGACAGATTTAAAACACCCCAATAAATTAAAACCAATTTAAAATTTGTATTTTAAAAGGGAAAAAAGGGAAAAATTAGGCCAGGCCAGCCTGATGGAATAAAAAGGTTTTAAGAGCGCGGCGGAAAGTGCGTAGATCCGGGATCCTCCGTATCTCCGGGGGGAGCTCATTCCAGATAGTTGGTGCCCCCACAGAGAAGGCTCTCCCCCTGGGGGCCGCCAGTCGACATTGTTTGGCCGACGGCACCCGGAGGAGCCCCTCTCTATGAGAGCGTACTGGCTGGTGGGAGGCTACTGGTGGCAGCAGGCAGTCTCGTAGATAACCAGGTCCTAAACCATGGGGCGCTCTAAAGGTGGTAACCAAGACCTTGAAGCGCACATGGAAGACCACCGGGAGCCAGTGCAGCTCGCACAGGAGAGGTGTTACATGGGAACGCCATGTCGCTCCCATAACCACCCGCACGGCCGCATTCTGCGCCAGTTGGAGCCTCTGGGTGCTCCTCAAGGGGAGCCCATGTAGAGAGCATTGCAGTAGTCCAGGCGGGAAGTGACGAGGGCATGAGTGACCATGCGTAACGAGTCCCGATCCAGAAAGGGACGCAACTGGTGAATCAGGCAAACCTGATGAAAAATCCTCCTGGTCACGGCCATCAGATGGTCTTCTAAAGACAGCCGTGAATCCAGGAGGATGCCCAAGTTGCGAGCCCTCTCTGTGGGGGCCAGCGATTTGCCCCCAATAGTCAGTGATGGCACCAACTGACTATATTGGGACATCGGAAACCACAGCCACTCGGTCTTGGATGGGTTGAGCCTGAGCCTGTTTCTCCCCATCCAGATCCGCATGGCCTCCAGGCACCGGGACATCACTTCAAGGGCATTGTTGGGGTGGTCCGGGGTGGAGATGTACAGCTGAGTATCGTCAGCGTACTGATGGTACTTCACCCTGAAACCACGGATGATCTCGCCCAGTGGCTTTACATAAATGTTGAACAGAAGGGGTGAGAGGACCGACCCTTGTGGCACCCCACATATGAGGCACCTCGGGGTCAACCTCTGCCTCCCTGCCAACACAGACTGCAACCGGTCGGAGAGAAAGGAGGAGAACCACTGCAATACAGTGCCCCCCACCCCTAACTCTTTCAACCGGTGCAGCATGATACCATGGTCGACTGTATCAAAAACTGCTGAGAGATCTAATAGGACCAGGACAGAGAAGCAACCTTTGTCCCGAGCCCTCCAGAGATCATCAACCAACGCTACCAATGCCGTTTCCGTGCTGTACCCAGGCCTGAAGCCCGACTGGAATGGATCCAGATACGTCGTTTCATTCAGGTGCTGGGGGAGCTTTCTGGCCTTCTCTGTGGCTGCCCCAGCTCTCTGGAACCAATTACCTCCTGAAGTCCGGACCGCCCCCACCCTATTGGCCTTCCAGAAAGCGGTGAAGACCTGGCTCTTCTGGCAGGCCTGGGGCCGTTGATCTCATTATAGTGATCTTGCGAGACCCGGCCACAAATTGGAGTGTATGTGTTTTAACGTTTTAATGTTTTAATGTTTTAATGTGTTCTTTTAACTTTTGTATAGAATATTGTTGCATTGTTTTATTCTCTGTTGTAAACCACCCAGAGTCCCTTGGGAGTGGGGCAGCATAGAAATGTGACAAACAAAATAATAATAAATAAATAAAATAATAAACCATTTAAATACATTATAATAAATAGTAAATAATTTTATTTTGTTTAAAACTACAGTAAAAAGGGTATAGTCTTGGCTTTGCATAAGAATTCATAGCTGAACAAATATCTGAAATTGTTATTCATATTTCAGAATTTTTCACACTTCAGACAATTGCTATATTATATAAAGGTAATCTCTTTTTGAATAACTATTTGAATAACTCATCTTAATTAGTAAGTATTTCTTTAGTGTGTTAAACTTTTCTTATCTATGCTTCTTTTGAAGGTATAAATCTTAACACCCACTGTTGTGCTATGATTGCATTAGCAGTTTTTTACAGAATCATAAAATCTCTTTCTGCCTCTGTCTCATCATCCCGTCCCATCACAAGATTTTGCAAAACTCCTGTATGCAATCATTTTGCATAGCTCCTTTCTTTTGCTATCAGTTTCATTTGTTTCCACTATACCTTTTAGTCTAATTTTACAGGCCACAACACAGAATCAAGCCACGTAATTACCAGACTGGGTCTCTTTGAGCAATGCATCTCAAAAGGGAGACCTATGGCTTTCTGTATGTTTAATTTGATGCCTTTGCCTTATAGTCAGTAAGACAGCAGAAATAGGTTGCAACATTTATAACAGACCATTTGAAAAGTGTGTTTATTTATTTTTTAATTAAATTTTTATGCCACCCATCTCCTCTATATGGTGACTATAGTTAAGTGTTTTATAGTTGAGGAAGTAATTGTGGAAAAACTAAAAGCCATACCTGTGTCACAAAGATTGTTTGTTAAATTTATGTGCTGCCTGTCTCACTGTGCTGAGTGATTCTGGGTGGATTGTTCACAGAGAGGGGGAAATAAATAAGTCCTATACTAAAAATATTGTTGTTCTAGCAGTAAGTTGATAAAAATTGGAAATCATTTGGGCAAAATATTTTCCACTTAGTAACTGCTTATTAAGACTATGATCTGACTGAGGTACAATTTGCAATGAATATGACAGAATTTTTGTTTAATGTATTTGAATACCTTGCTTTTAATTCAAGCATCTGTTAGATCTGACTCACACTGAACCATTATCCACATGAAATATTTAATGACTGTGTGTATTTTATATATTAATATCTCATGAAATAGTTATGATTAGATTAACTTCAACCCATCATTAGCAATATGTGGGAAAAAAATATCTTTTTTTTTTTTCAAAATAGGTTTAATTTATAATATATGCTATGCAGAGTACACAGTTGAGAGAAAATTACAGTATCTGAAAATGTAGAAAGGAATGGTCAGAGGGGAAT